GGCCGGCATTGCTGGGGCTGCTCACTGAGGGGGTGAGAGCCAGGCTGCCTGTGCCCTGGACACGCATAGGATCTCTGCACCTGCAGGCAGGGAAGGGCTGAACTCAGCCCCCGGGCACCTGGTCAGCCTCAGCTCAGCCAGGCACGCATCCCCTTCCCTCCCTGGGCTCTGCTTTCCCCTTTCAGGTTGGACACTGCTGAGCACCTGTTCCCCATGTCCCCACTCTGGGCACGGGGACTGACACTGTGCCATGCCACTGCCGTGAGCAGGGCACTCACTCCTGGGGGGAACCCGCTTGCTTTTGTTTGGAGTGAACTCTTGGCAAGCTGGCAGGCTCCTATTAATAACTAATAGCTAATAACTAATACATACTATTAATAACTAATGATGAGCTGGGAGGTTCCAATTAATTTGTATCTGCAGTGATTCCCTGGGGTGCCAGCAATGCTGGCTAATGGGCTGCCACTTCCCTCAAGGCAGCTCTGTCCTGCTCCCAAGCCACTGCTTGATGTCACCATGCTGTGCCCAGCCCAACCCAGGCTGTGTCCCCACATATGTATGCCATTGCTTGGGGCAGCCTCACCAGCCCACCTGGACACTGTGGGATGAAGCACCCCCAGGGGAGCCCTTCCCCTGCAGCCCACCATGGGTGCTGAGTAGTGGGAGTGATCCCTACAGACCCTTTCTGGGTTGAATTCCACAGGGTGCCCTGGTCAGGGAGACGGTTTGGCCAAAGCCCATCCTCCTGCTGTGTAATGAATGGAAAAGGGAGGAATCCATAATCATGATGTAAAGGAGAGGGTGCAACCAGCAGGACATCAATCAGAGGGGACGTGATAAAGGGAGCCTCTAGACAGGAGGAGCCAGCAGTGGAGGGAGGGATGGTGACAGCATCATGAGGCCAAACAAAATTTTGGCACGGTGATAAATCCTGGAGCGGCTGGAGCTGCTTGAGCACTAATGATGAGGAGAAAACACCAGCCACGTTTAACAAATATTTCTGCTCTGTATTTGGAGAGAAGAAGGACGACATGCTTGAATTGTACAAGAGTGATGAAACCATCTATTAATTACTGCCGGGAATGTTAAACAACATCTGCCAGCTCAGCGGGCCCAGGCACCGCCCGCCCTGGCCTCCTCCAAGAGCTGGAGGAGAATTTGGCCTCCTCATTAATTTCCTACAAAATCTTGGAATAGCAAGAAAATCCTGGCCGGCTGATGGAGAGCCCACCCATGCTGGGAGCTGCAGGGAGGCAGGGGTGCTCAGTCCTTAACTTGGCTCTGCTGGGATTTATATCATGTTTGCACCAAGTTCAATCCTTCTTGATGAAGAATAGCCATAAGCTGGCAAAGGTTGGGCTTTTGTTTCCCATGACTTATATACAGATTTTCTGTATCCACGTGTTTTTTGAGACTGCAAGAAAGGCTTGAGCTGGACAACGTGTTCATTAGGGATCCTGGAGGAATCTTTGTCACAGCTTTGGGAGGGACTACCATCTTTCCCTGCATCTCTCATGTGCTGTGCAGTGTCTGGAACCAGAAAAATTAAGGGGACAGAAAGGCAGAGGGGATAGGGGAATGGAGGAGATATGGAGGGGCTGGAGGGATGGAGGGGAAGGAGCAGAGGAGGAAGAAGAAATAGAAGAAGAAGGCAAAGATGAAGAAGAGGAAGAGGAGGAGGAGAAAGGAGGTCCAGGATGGGAGGACTCCACAGGACCAGGGCAAGTCCCAGCTGTGGCACAGTCCTGCTGCACTCCATAATTAGCAGCAGAAGGTACCTTCTTGATTTTAGGAGGTGGAAACTGAGCAAGAAGGTGGCTGAAGGGCACAGCGGACCTCAACAGCAGAAAACAGGTGGCTCAGCAGCAGAAACACACTAATTAACAAATTAACTCTGTACAGTATGCACTGACCAGGGTAAGCAGGGGAGGACTTGACAGAGTGACAATCCCACCAAGGAGTCCCCAGTGGGCACCAGGGCTGACACCTCTCTTCAGTGCCAGGTCCTTGAGTCAAACTACCACTGGTGCCCATGGCCATGGAAACAAGGAGGTCCAAGAAATTCAGGTGAGATTCTCAGTAAGGAGGAGAGCTGGGGATGTACATGCAGCCAGCCAGGTCACACCACTCTGCAAAGCCTGCCCCAACACTGGGGAGCTGGGAGGGACATCCCAGCAGGGGTGATGAGCTCAGGGAACATCATGGGGATACACTGGTCCTGGTGTACAGCTGGGGAGGAGGGGCTGGGTTGGTGCTGATCCTGTGGAGAGGTTTTTCATCTCTTGGCCCCTTTGCATCCTGAGGGCATAGGTTTAAGGAAGACCATCTTTGGTGAAAAATCATGAGATTTAATACAAGCAAAACTCTCACAGCTGCCTCCAAAATAATCCAAAATTATGTGGATTATTTTTCCCAGCCATTTTCTACACATAAAGAGGCTAGAATTTACTCCTTATAAAAGCCAAAATCCAAACATGGCTGCAAAATATTGGGGTTCTTTAGAGGAGAGAAGAAAGCCTGGGGGGAAGGGATGCCTGGGATGCCCCTCCCAGCCTGAGCCCTGGATTCCCTCACACAGCCACAGGGTGCAGGGGGAATGGGACAGGTCTGGGGGTGCCCAGGAGGGATGGGGTAAGAAGTGTCAGTGGGATGGCACCATCCAGACACCCCAGCCCACAGCACCTCATCCCTCATGGCCCCCGGGGTGCCAGCTAAGCCACCTGGGAGCCTGGGACAAGCAGTTAAAAACAGAAATGTCAATTTAAATTAAAACATCTTTCATAAAGGAGAAAGATAAAACCTGCCCTACAGCAAAATGAGATGAAAGATTTATGGGGTGCTGGGAGGACTGGTGTCCCCACTTCAGTGGGTAGCTTCCACTGTTGGCACCGCAGGGCACCCCAAGGCACTGCCACCTCCCCATCCCAGCCACCACAGAGGCCAGAGCTGGGTCTGCAACGAAATGTCAGCTCGACAATAAAATGTGCAGAAGCTTGGATTTCTTCAGGCTAATAAAACTCCTGGGCAGCAGCAGAGATGCTTGGTACAGAGCTGCTCTCCCTCTCCAGCGCCCCACTTGGCCCCCTCCTCATCTTCCTTGGGGACACGAGGCCCATCTGCCCCCATGCTCCTTGTGCTGGCTCCTCGCACAGAGGCTGCTGAGCATAGGCCCCAGCAGCAGCGTGAGGCACAGCTCCAGAGCTGTGTGTGCCACGGCAGGGAGTAAATCCTCTGCGTCCTGTCAAGGTAAAGTGACAAAACACCGGCCTGCAATGCAGGAACCGCAGTTATAACATGAGAAAATCAATGCAATATATTACCAGAGACATAAAGATGCTATTAATGCTTCAGCACAGGGCCCTCAGCTTCGCCTGCCATCGCAGGGCAGGTTTACATGAGGGCTCTGTGCATTCCCATCTGGTTGCTCAGGTCACTCATGTGCTGGGGCTCAGTTCTGTGTTTATTCACTGACACCCCCACCCAGCAAAGCTTTTCTGCTCCCGCACACTGACTCCTGGACTTTGGCCCTGCCAGGGGCCTGGGCTCCAGCTGGAGATGCACCCAGGGCTGCTGGGGCGATGCACGGCCTCAGTGAATGCTGTTCTGAGGTGCAAGGACCCAGTGAGGCTGCAGCCCCAGACCAGCTCTCTTTCTAGGGATTCCAATGACTGTGCAGCTCTGCCATCCACACAGCTGCACTCGGGTGCCTCCTGAAAAAGATTGAAGAGGATGACAACTGCTGTGCACCACAGAGTGAGGCCCCAGGACATGTGTAAGGTGCAGCGCTCTGCTGGCATGGCGGCTGTGGGCAGGGAGCAGTCTGTGTCCTGGGGACATGTGTGCTGGATAAGGAGGAGAGCTGGGGATGTACGTGCAGCCAGCCAGGTCTCATCACCCTGCAAAGCCTGCCCCAACACCGGGAAGCCGGGAGGGACACCCCAGCAGGGGTGATGGAGCTCAGGGCACAGCCGTCATGGGGATACACTGGTCCTGGTGTACAGCCTGGTTGGTGCTGGATCCTGTGGAGAGGCTTTTCATCTCTTGGCCCCTTTGCATCCCGAGGACATGGATGCCACTCCCTGCAATTGATAGTTTGGATTATTACTGAGAAGTTAACTCAAGCCTCTTCTAATTGATTAATCAATAGCTTTAATTGAGTTGAGACTCCTTAGTGGGTAGCTTCACCACTGTTATCCCCTTCGCCAGCCCTGCCCCGGCACTGACCCCCCCACCAAAAACCTGTTGCTGTGTCTGGCCTCTACCCAGGCTGGGCTCCCACAGCACAGCAAATTCCTGGGGCTTGCAGTTGCCTAGGGCTGCAGAGGAGCCGGACCATGCAGGGCTCCCCTGGCACGGGGTAGGAGGCCCCAGGAACAAGCTGAAACAAAAGGAGCTGCAAAATGTCCACGGCTCATGGTACCCGCTCTGTGAGACACGGCAGAGCCCCCGGGCATGGGCAGGGCAGGGCACGCACCCCAGCCGGGCAGCCTGCGAGTGTGCCTGGGGACGGGGAATGGGCACTGGGAGCGCGGGGCTGCCTGCGGGCACCGCCGGGTCACACTCCTGCACGCCCGAGCCACGGCTCTGCAGAACTGGAGATGAACATTTTATGGTAAAATATGCAGAGCATGGGACAAAAGGAGAGAGCGTTTCTCGCATAATGAGACGCTGTCAGAGGCGAGCTCCCCAGGAAACCAATTAAGAGGGCAAAACTCCCTTTTCCCAGAGCGGATTCCAGCGCCCCGCGCCCCCAGCACGGCCCTGTCCCGCAGGCCCTCGGGGCAGCCGGGAGCCCCACGCGCGTAACAGGCGGCGTGGGGCCGCTCACCCACGGCCGCGGGCATGTCCCGGAGCCCTCAGCGGCCGCAGGGCCGAACCCAACACTGCTCCCGCCGATGGGGGCTCGCTGCGCTCTGCGGGCGGGCCGGGGCAGCCCGGGCGGGACGCGGTGCCCGGAGTGGCCGCGGGAGCACCGCCCCGGCCCGCCCCGCCCCGCCGCCATGGCGCTGCGCTTCTCCGCCAACCTCTCATGGCTCTTCCCGGAGCTCCCGGCGCTGCCGGCGCGGCTGGAAGCGGCGGCGGCCGCCGGGTTCGGAGCGGTGGAGGCGGCTTGGCCGGCGGGCTGCCCGGCCGAGGAGCTGCGGGCGGCGGCGGAGCGGGCGCGGGTGCGGATCGAGCTCCTCAACACCCCCCCCGGTACGGCCGCGTCCCGCTGCTCCCCCCGTGCGTGGGCTAGCGAGGACCCTCCGCCGACCCTGCCGCTCTCTCCCAGGGGACCCGGAGGCGGGCGAGCTGGGGCTGGCGGCCGTGCCCGGGCGGCAGGCAGCCTTCCGGCAGGGCCTGGAGGCGGCCGTGCACTACGCCAGGGCTGTGGGCTGCCGCAGGTAGGTGCGAGGCGGGCCCCCCGCTCCGGCCGCGCCCCGGCCCCGCGGCTGTCGGGGGGTTCCTCTGCTGTACTCCTGCTCCAGCGCTGCGCCCGAGCAGAGCTGCCCTTTGCCCCGCGGTGCCCGCCGCCCCCGGGACACGGAGCCTTTCCTGCAGCATCTCCTGCTCGGCTGCGTCGGACGGAGCCAGCTCGGGGCAGACCCCGCTGTGCGCGGCCGCGGCCTCAGCGTGCTCGGACCTAGAGCTGCCAGGCACGAGCCTGACCCTGCCCTTCGCAGCAGAGGCTCTTGTTCCCACCTCCACACAACAGGCCCCAGGATAATCCTCCCTTTTTCCTCCTCAACTGCACGAATCGTTTCCACCAGGACACCACAACAGTTGCTTTGTTGAGGCCACGCTGACTCCAGCACAGCAGAGACACCGTAAAAGATGCAATTAGCCTGGCACAGCTCCCTTCAGCAAACCAACAGGGTCCTTTTATTCCTCTTATTTTGCACCATTCTTTCCTGTTGCAATTCAGTCCAAAGCCCTCTGGAGGGCATGGGCTAGGCACGCTAGAGGCTGCCCAGCACCATTTACACACTGGTTGCACATTGAAAAGGTTTTTATTTCTGCTGTGTGCCTTCCCCCCTGAAGATGGCCTGGTGCTTGAGCTCTTCAATGCAGGGCAGTCCAGCATGGGGCACTGTCCCCTCTCTGCTCACAGCCAGCAAGCAGTGACACCACACATGACACAGGCCCCTGGCAGAAGCAGCATGCCACTTGCCCAACATGCTGGTTTGGGGCCCTGCCAAGGAGCAAGAGTCCAAGAAAGTTCCAGAGTCAGGGCGAAAGAGCTGAAGGCAGTTAACAAAAGAGAGAAGAAGCAAGGTCTGTGTTTTGTCAGGCAAAAGGTTCAAAGTCAGCCCTCTGTGTATTGAGGTGGGATGGTGCATATTTGTGTCCTGGCTGGCAGCTCGCTGGCTGCTGTTGTGCCTCCTGGAGAAGAGAGGGTTCTTCTTACCCCCTTCTGTGTCTGCTCCCCCAGCCTGGCGCCCTTTTCCATCAGCAGAGGAAGGTGTACTAGATCAGGCCAGCTGCTCTCAGTTGCTGGCTGTGATAATCTTTCTGTGCCTGTAGGATTCATGTGATGGCTGGGCGGGTTCCCTTGGGCACAGACCGGGCTGCAGTGGCAGGTGAGATGGAAACCACCTTCATTGAGAATCTCAAATACACTGCTGACCTCCTGTCCCAGGTAAGTAGGGAATGGGTCCTCCTTTGTGTGTGCAGCTCTTAGGATACCCACGATGGGGAATATCCCACCAGCCTGGCACAGGAAAGTTATGCTTCCTGCTGCAGAGATGACAGGAGGCTCTGCAGGGTGACATTACTGTGTTACAGGAAGACATGATTGGACTGTTGGAGCCTATCAACAACCGCATCACTGACCCTCGCTACTATCTGAACACCCCACACCAAGGTAAGCCAGACAACAAGAGTGTCCTTCAGAGAAGGATCTCCAAAGTCTGAAAGGCAAGAGGTTGCCTCACAAGGAGGGAGATGCTGAAGGAGCACAGTTGATAAAGGGCGTACTGGGGCTTCTCTGCAAAGCTTCCACCCTGGAGGCAATGGTTTCTCATTTCTTGCCCCCTTAGCTGCTGCCATCCTGGAGAAAGTGGGACGCCCCAATCTGAAGCTGCAGCTGGTGAGTCAGCATTGAAGCTCTCTGTGAGAGAAACTTGCACAGGTCCACAAAGAGTTCTGGTGGCCATGGGCTTCTTACACCCTCTTGGGGACACTGGACAGGGACCATAGCACAGCTGTCCTTAACTGCTCAGCTGGCCAGCTGCACCCTCCATTTTACTCTCTCGCCCCCAGGATCTTTTTCACTGCCAGATCATGGATGGCAATTTGTCACGCAACCTGGAGACGTACTTCCCACTCATCGGTAACACTCTGCACCCAGACCACTGGGGAGTGGTCCTCCTACTCCAGGCTCTGCTGTAGCTGGCTGGGGGTGTGGGGCTGCTCTTGGGTCACCTTGTCTCATGCCAAAGAAGGCTGCAGGCAGGGCTGCCTTGGGCACGGCCTCTCCCCTTCCCTCCCTAGGTCACATCCAGATTGCACAGGTGCCAGGGCGGCACGAGCCCGATAGCCCTGGGGAGCTGAACTTCCCCTACATCTTCGAGCTCCTGGAGTCCCTCGGCTACACTGGCTACGTGGGGTGCGAGTATGCTCCAAAGGGTGAGTGGCCTGCAGGTCTAAGCACAGGCCAGGGCAGGGCCAAGCACAGGCCAGCTGGCTGGGTACTGTGCAAAGACAGGCAGGTCCTGGGGGGCACAGGTAGTGGGTGTCATCCCTACCTGGGGATGAGGGCTGTGTCCTGAACAGAAGCTGCTCCAGCTGCAGCAGGAGACCTTGTCTGTCACTGCAGGAGACACCCTGGAAGGTCTGGGCTGGCTGCGATCCTACTGGGAAAGCCGAGGGCTGCAGCACGGTGGGACCAGCAAGGCAGCCAAGTAAAACGAGAAAACCATGAGAATAAAAGACAAAGCAATGGCTTAACAGAGGAGCACGTGTCTTCTCTAGGACTAGGGGAGTGTGGTGGGTGGGATGATTTCCCAGAATGAAGTTAGGAGCATCTATGTCATTGCCCTTACCGAGGCTCTACTGGGCCAGCCCAAGCTCTTGGACCCTCATCTACACAAGTACCACCTGTAGCATCTTCAATTTAGTGATGGCCCAGGCACCACTGTAGGTGACTTCAGGTACACAGAAAACTTTAACTTCCAGGCTGCATAGGTTTCCAGGGAGAGGTTTAAGTCTCCCCAATAAGGGGAGCATTCCAGCTGGTGCCTGAAGTTGTGGAAAGAACACTTTGGACTTCCAGGTACTAAAGTTCTCATGGCTGTTGTCAGTGCCCAGCACTGACTCTGCAGCAGGGCTGCAAGTGAAGCAAGCAGTCCCCTCCCAGAACGTCTGATCCAAGGTAATAAATAGGCTGGGAGCTGCCTGCGCATGGATACTCAAGGCTGACTGCCTTGCTGCTCTTGCTCTGGAGCAAGTGTAAGATTTCAGAACAAACCCAACCTATAGCCACAGCTGCTCTGCATCCTCCACAGGTAGCTTTCCACAGCCTACAGCAACAGAGCAGGGATATGGTTCAGTTTATTTCACAGACAGATCAATGGCTCAAATGTACACCTCCATAAAACCTTCCTGTGATCCAGTTCACCCTTCCTGTCCCATTCATGCTCTCCCAAGGAAAGCAAAAGGCCAGAAGCAGTTGTTCCCACTGCCCAGTCAGGCAGCTCTGCACTCAGGAGTCTTTCCTCCTGAAACCAGAGCACTGTGCAGTGCTGCCCTGTGCAGAAGATGGTGCCGTGCATGCTCCTCAGTGCCTTCCCAGCAGGCAGAACTCACCTATGGTTGCCAAAGCCACATCCCTGAGAGTTGTTCTGCTTCAGCCAGGCTGCAGCAGCCAAGTTCCTGCCCTTGCTGTTTGGTTCAAGGCCATTCAGTATCAGGCCCACTGAAAACAGCACACAAGGGCCATACCAGCCAGTGAGGACATGCACATCCCCAGGCTCCTGGGCCAGCAGCCACAGGTGCCACTGGCAGTGCTGCCTGCAGTGCCCACACACAGGTTCCCCCAGAGAACTGCTCCTCCCCAGGTCACCATGGCACGGCCGTGCCGGGGTCGGAACAGGCGCTGCTCCAGGATGAGGGTGCCGGTGCTAGAGCAGGCCTGTCCACAGGTTGAAGCAGGCAGTGTTGATCACTGACTCCAGGTGATGGTATGTGGACACAAGCTGTGGCAGAGGGCTCTCGCTGTTCTGGGGCTGCACTGGGAACGGCTCCCGGAAAACCACAGTCAGGCTCTGCCAAGAGAGAGGAGAGGATCAGGGGACAGGATGCAGACAAGCACTGTGCAATCCCTAGCCCTGGTGTGTGGACAGTTTTTTGGCAGTGTTAGGCAAATAGTGGGAGAAGTCCCAAAATGTCAAAGGCACTACACTAGTGCCTCTTCCTGTGACAGAGCATGTTTGAGCCTACTTCCAATTTTTCTGCTGGAAATTCTGTGTAAGGACTTGCCCACTCTGTCCCAGCTCTCATGCATCTGCAGTTACACTAATCCTGGCAGCAGCCACAGGAGAGGAGGGGATCCTACTGCCTCCACAATAACAGGCGCTTCCAGGGAAATTAGAGGGAAATTTCTTCTTCTAAGGGAAAGAGTAGGAGTGCAACAAATGGGGAAGGGAAGGAGATTAAATGTAATAACCACAATCCTAAAAATAAATGCTGCCTGCTCCACTCTGACTAGTGACTACTGAAAAGGCAGGGCAAAGGCAGAGAGGAACAGGGAGCAGGCAGAGGTTGCAGGAGCTGAAGCAGAACAAAAACGTGACTCAGTGCACTCAGATCAGCGTCACGGAGGCAAGACCCAGGGACAGGATGTTCTCCAGAGTTGAAATGCAGCACATCCAGTAGCCAGGGTCCCTTACAAACTGGTAAAGCCAAGAGGAGAGCTGTGTAACTACAAAACAGCAAATGTACCACCATTAATTTAGGAGGAGAAAGGATGTTATTTGTGAGCCCAGCTCCAGCAGCATGCAAGGTTTCAGAGCAGACTGGGAGAGACAGAACCATGAGGGAATGAGGGAAATGCAGTCCAGTGTTACCAAAGTGATGTGCTAACACTAAAATTCACTTTGATAAGGCAATATTTCTAGACAAAGGAATCATGGTACATCTTATCTGAGATTCAGGACGGATTTGATGTGGTGTCACATGGGAAATTTAGGTAAGCTGAAAAGATAGGAATTAACTCAAAAATTATAAGATGAAAACATGGCAATGCTGAAAGGGGAAACGGAGAGAGGTTACAGATAGAGTTCCTTCAGGACAGGTTTTGGGAGTCACGTTGCCTAGTACTTTAACAAGTCTGGTACAAAGATGAGGAGTATGCTGATAAAATTTGAGGCACTAATACAAAAGACAATTGGGATAATGCAAAAAAAAAGCCCCAAAACCCTGAGAGAGTTTTGAGAGGCCACAAGAATGGGATGAATGCTAAGCACAAAACACAATGTTATGAAAACAAAGGACTTCTGTTACAAAATGAGAGTCACTGGGAGAGGGGATGGAGGTTCTGGGTTTATTATATCGATGACCACAAGGTGACACTATGATCATCAGGTGGCAGGAGGCACTGAGCAGCCTTTCAGCAAGCACCACCTCTCCTGTCTCCCCTACCTGCTTTTCAGATGGAGCATGATTTATTTTATACAGCATCAGTTACTCCGCAGTCTCTGCAGAAGCCTTATTGTGGACTGAAGCCTCTTGTAGATGCCCTGCTCTCATATGGAGCTGCATTCCCTGTGACCTATCCTGTACCCTGCCTGGAAGCACAACTGAAATCAAAGTATTTTTTCCCTCAAGTTCAGTGAAGACAAAGGCCCTTGCAGGTTTGCTAGGACCCTGACAGTGCAGGTCCCCTTCCTTTCTGCCCAGACAGGAGCAGCCCACAGCACTGGTGACCCCTCCCAGCCAGACTCAGTATGATCTGACTTTGGACTGAATACAGAAGGACTGCTTAGCCTGGATAGAGAGACAGCTGAGGAAATGATCCAAAAGCAATCCTGTGAAGGAAAAGAGGATCAAGTGTTCACTCTTTTCTAATACAAGAACAAAGGAACATCACATGGAAAGAACAGTAAGAGTTTCAAAAATAAGCCAAGGAACTTCACCTAGACTGCAGCTGCCTTACAGAGCTGCAAGTCAGAGGAAGTCAGAAATTAACCAAAGGAAATAAAGCTGTGGAGGGTGATTAAATACATGCAAAGGCCACTTCTAGCTCAAGATGGGCCTAAGCTATAGATTTTCAGATGCTGGGACAATATTTAGGAGAAGCATTACAAGCTTCTTGACCTGGTCGTGTTCTCATTCACACATGCCCTTGGCCACTGCTGGATCAATCTAGACAGATTCCTGGCCTGAACCCACATAGCTGTTGTTCTGTTCCCAAGGACTCACCGTTTTTCCTGAATGAGAATCAAGAAACACAAGAACAAAGCAATCTGTGAACTTCTGGTTGAGCACAACCTGTCAGGAGAGTCACAGAGCATGTTAGAAAGGACAAGGACACAGGGACAGGCTGCAGGTGGGCAATGGGCTGTGTCTTACCAGATACTGGGTGCCGGTTTCAGCATTGTGGAAGTGCCGACAGCTCTGGGGAAAGCGGCTCAACAGCACCTTGATGAGGCTCTGGTACCAGGAGACTGTCATGGTGAGGAAGCATTCCTGCAGGCATAGAAAAGGCCTGATCTTCAGCCTCCCTCTAGCTATGGCACCAGCAGCCATAATGCTACAACAGCTTTCAGACCCCAAATCAGATGCAACCTTCACAGCTCACTGAGGATGCTGACTGAGGGCTGTTCACTCTCTATAGGCAGGTCCATGCAGCCTCCCCCTTCCCCTGCCAGTTAGGAGCTGTGTTCCTGCCTCTACCTTCCCACCAAGCAGGAAGAGATGTGCATTGCAGGCCCCTTCACCTGGCACCCCACTCCATCCCCAGAGCAGAACAGCAGCTGCTGTGCTGTGCCCCATCCCTGCTGCTCACCAGCTGGGGGTCGACATCTGCGATGGATTTCCCGTGCACGGCATCAAGCAGCTCCTCCAGCTCCACCAGCGAGAGCTTGCCCAGCTTCAGCTTGTCAGAAGCCAGAGGCTCCAGAAGGAAGAGGCGCTTCCAGAGGTTGTCCCTGCGGCAGTGGCACTTGGCCAGCTGCACCATGCTGCTGAGCTGCTTCTGGGCTGAGGCCACCTCAGAGGCCAGCAGGGGGAAGAGCGGAGAGGTGTAGAAGAGCCCTGGCCCCAGTTTGACCTGCGTGCCCCCCGCATAGAACTCGCCGCTGTCCTCCACGCCCTGCCACAGCTCCCGCTCTGCCGACGGCTGCTGGCCCAGGCTCGGCTCTGGCTCCGCTGCTTCCCAGGCCGCCCGGCCCACCACGGGCTCCAGCACCTCCCGCTGCAGGCGCGGCAGCTTCTTGAAGCGGCGCATGTCGGCCGTGAGCCGCGGAAACAGCTCCCGCTGGCTCGTCATGATGACATAGAAACGCAACCTAGGAGCAAGGAGACACTGTGAGCTGGGGAAGGGCTGCTCCCCTCTCAGCTGCACTGCAAATGAACCACAGGCCCCTCTGTCCCCGTCAGAAACAATGCTTCTCTGCCCGGGTTCTCACAATGATCCTCCCCAGACACCACCAACTCTGCCTGTGCTATTCCAGACAGAACCAGTCCCTCCCAGAGCCCTCCTCCCCAGCCAGGAAGCTTTGCTGTCCCTGGCCCCCAGTGCTCACCGGAGCATGCGTCTCTCTGCCTCGCTCTGCTCCTCAAACGGTGCAGCACTGTGGCAAACCAGGAGGGACACATCGAAGTCATCGTGGTGACGCAGACCTTCAGAATCCTTGTAGGAGCCCGAGCTGGGATAAAAAAGCACATCAGTATGAAGGAAGCCTCACTTTGTT